TTAAAAGATCCCAAAGTATTTATAGTGAATAGGAATGGGACAGAAAGCTATCTTTAGTTCACATGAATTTGATCAAAATGACTCACAAGAAGCTCTCTGACACACTCAAAGCTGCCAGCACTTGATCCTTTCTCCCCTGCAGGAGTCTGTTCTATGGATGTGCAGACTCAGGGTGTGGGAAGAACCTGCTGAGACTACCAATGGATCTATTATTTGGCTCATAAAACTTGTAAAAATCTCACAGAATGTACAATGTGCTATTGTGTCCGTAAATCCCTTTCATGACTTGGTTAGCAGCCTGACTCAAAGCAGTCTGGCCTGTTTTCACTTCTACCATAAAAGGGTTTTTTGAAAGAGCCATTTAACTGTGACCATGGTTTCAGCAACACTATGAAGACAAAGGAATGGTTGAAGCCATATGGACACTTCAGTACTCAGACTCCAGCAAATCAGTACTTTTTTTTTCCTCTTAGAATTTGCTTTTGCATAATTAGCTCTCTTTATATACTGAATGAACTAATACATCAATATTCAAGATGCAGGGAACTGCCACTTGTGAGCACTAATTTAGATTCAAGTATTAGAAACCATAGTGCATCTACAGAAAGCATTCTCTAAAAAAATGCCTTCAGAGGATTAATTTATAATCAGTGCTTTCTATCTCATATCTTGAACAGAATAAAACAGGAGGATAACTAATCTATTTTGCCTTTTCTCTGTCTGGAGTATAAGGAATTATTTATAGTCACCAGATTGTAGCAAGGAAAGGTTTGTATAAAACTCAAATAGATACACTCAGCTTCTAAGTTTGCCACCACGCTCTCTGACCCATACAGCAATGCCTGCTTGTAGTCGCCACTGCCACAGTAAACACTATGATATTCTTTTCACTGTGAAACAGCACACTGAAGCAAAAAAATAACCATGTTACCTTTTCTCAAACCTGAGTCAATTCTCCACACTCTATTTACAGTAGAGTCCAGTTCTGAAGAGATGTTGATCACTCCCCAGCAGGAGCACATTCTGAACAAGTATCGATTATCTTTCTTATGGGACTCACAAGAAACTGAAGGAGCATGCTTGCATCACTGCAGAAACAGTGCTGACTTGCAACTGTGAAGCTGCAGGATCAGCTCGGTGCGCAGCTTCACTTTTGAAATCTAGCTAGATTAAAACTAGCTGCTGATCTTGAAGGAGACTAGGTATGCCTGTGCAGCCTGATGAAGTGCATTACTTATGAGGATGGCACATATTTGATCATTTTGGATCTTTCAAAACAGCTGGCTACAATTAGCACATCAGCGACCAGCAAGAGTGGGGCTGCTGCCTAAGGGAAGGCTATCCAGGAGCACAGGGTGGGCAACAAGCTCATCAACAAGGTGCGGTCCAACAGCACCAAGATACAAACAAGCTGAGCAGGGTGATGACACAAACAGTGGCAAGCAGGTCAAGGAAGGTGATTCTCTCCCTCTACTCCACTCTGGTGAGACCCCCCCTGGAGTAATGCGTGCAGCTCTGGAGCACCCCAACATACAACGGACACGGTCCTCTTGGAGCAAGTCCAGAGGAGGGCCACAAAGATGATCAGAGGGCTGGAGCACATCTCCTATGAAGACAGACTGAGAGGTTGTTCAGCCTGGAGAAGAGAAGGCTCCAGGGAGACCTTCCAGGGACCTTCCAGTACTTAAAGGGGGCCTACAGGAAAGATAGACAGGGACTTTTTATCAGGGAGTGTAGTGATAGGACAAAGGATAACAATTTTAAACTGAAGGAGGATAAATTTAGATGAGATACTAGGAAGAAATTCTTTACTGTGAGGGTGATGTGACACTAGAACAGGTTGCCCAGAGAAGTTGTGGATGCCCAATCCCTGGAAGTGTTCAAGGACAGGTTGGATGGGGCTTTGAGTAACTTGGTCTAGCGGGAGGTGTCACTGCCCATGGCAGAGATGTTGGAACTAGATGATCTATAAGGTCCCTTCCAATCCAAATCATTGTATGATTCTATATCAGTCCAGTGCGTCTCAGGCAAGACAGTGTAACAGGCCAGGTCCAAGGTCCATCCAGGGCTTCCCACACAGCCCTTCAGGAACAGGGCTAGGGGCAGACACACCTAAGACACATCCCAGGCAGGGTCTGAAGCCCAACTTAATTGGAGCCCTTGTTGGTGAAGGTTCTAAGTGAGGCTAGTCAGGACACTTAAGGCAAATTAGCGCCCTCAGGGCCCTGACATAGCACGCTTTGCTTAGGACCGTAACTGTTGGGTAAAATCACCAGCAGCCAGGCTACCCTAACTTAAAATTTGTGCCATGTACTACTTTTCAAGATAATGCAATTTTATACAAGGCAAATTAATCCAAAGTCTTTCTCCTCTTTACAGTCTGAACAGCAAGATGAGAGAAACAAGCATCATTATTATGACTTTGTGTACAATTAGCTTGTTTTAGTGTAAGTTTTGATGTATGCTTGATACATCATACATACTTAACACTTAAGTCTACATGCATTTTCAGTCAGTCCATCAACATTTCTATGCCTAGAGACAATACTAACTATATTTTCCTGTGCATCAGAAATATGAATCTGTCTCTCAGAACTTTGGTATGCTGAATCAGCAGAATGGATTCCCAAAAGTGCTCCTGTTTTCTCCCTCTTCTATTATTATCTCTTCCCCGTTTTTTCCACCACTTAAGCAACAACTGTCAATGCCTACCCAACTGGCACCAACCCTGCTTGCTCAAACTAAGTATGCACACACTGTATGTCAAATAGACTTGTGCAAATAGCAATGTTAGTACAGTCATAGTGAGATGCTACAGAAGTCTATTCTTTCAGCTTCGTAACTTGAGTAGGTTGGTATTCTGCAGTTTATACCTAACTTAACACTGCCATCATAATTTATTCAGAGAGCTGGAAAATTTATAAACATTAATATAATAGTTACCATAAGGTAAGTTATACAAGACAATGAACACATACATGCTGAAATTTAACCCAACAAAGTGGGTTCCAAGATCCTGTTGTCATGAATTCAGGCACATCTTTTACAGCTATAATAAACTGATAAAAAATTATTGATAGGATTCCTCCTTTATTTGGCATTATTGATAATTTTTTGTGTAATGATATATTTTTGGAATCAGTTTTTTGGGGAGCTGTATTTATTAGAAAGCAATTTCTGCACATATTTCAGAACTGCAGTTTAAGATTTCTTGTGTAAAATTCCTGTTATAATACCATTGAACTGGGGACCAAACTCATAGTTCACTGAAGATACGGATATAGACAGGAAAATCTGAAAGAGGAAGGAGAAAAGAAGGGGATCGTAACCCTTGTGTTCTCCCTCATAAGTCTCTTTTCCCCAGGCTTTCCTCACCAACATCAAAGTTTTAATAACTAAGCCTAGCATCACTGCTATTGACAAGAGTCCAAGACAAGCTTCTACTAGAAAAGTTAAAAAGATCAGAAACCACATTTATAATACAGAACTTGCTGCAACAAGACAAGACACACATATTGATGAATTGGCGCCTGAAACCTCTGCTTTCTACTTGGCCATATTATTAAAATGGTAACAATGTACTCTGTACAGGATAGTGCAAGATACACAGTAAATTAAATACAGCAATTAACATGTCCACCACTTTGTTGCCTTTGGCATCCCCTCTTCTACCCTCTTCAGAAGGCTCTTGGCCTTCTCTGTCTCTGCTACTTCTTTACCACATCCCAACTTTATGCTGGGATTGAGGCCAGGGACTTTGCAACACTGAGCTAACTGTTCAGAGCAGAATTCCAGCAGCAGCCCTCAGAGACCCTTTTCCACACACCTTCCCGTTCTGCTCTGCCCCTTCTCTTCTTCCAAACCCTAATTCCTGCCTCCACCCCAACCCAAGGCAGAAAGTCCAGCAGAGGACCCCTCCGTACTTTCAGGCACAATAATTCTCGGCACTTTCCTTTTTCAACACTGCATTATGCTCTCCTAGTTTACTTCTTCAATCAACCTGAACCCTAACCTGGGCACCTCTCCATTTCCCTCAACTATGAACACCCACCGAGGGAATTGTAGCAGAACTCACTTGACTGACTCTCAGTCTCTTCCTCACTTGAACTTTAACCCAAAGCAGAAATTCAGGTTTCCGAGAAATTCAGGCTGTCCACATGAATAGCTACAGAAATATCCTACATTCAAAGATAACCTGTGTTTATCAGACACTTTTCAGAAGATTACAGTCTTCTAAGAGACAGGGAACAAAGCCCAACAATTACAGAAGCCCATTGTTGAGAAACTTGACATAGAAGCCAGATTCTTTCAAGGTTCTGAGAAATACTATTCACTTAAATGAAACATGCTGAAAGGTACTAATTCAGTGGAAATTACCGCACTGCAAGACACTCTCAGTACAGAATCACATCCCTAAGATTTCTTCTGAAGTTTCTATATTGTAAATCCAGGACTGATTTTTGAATAAAATTTATGAATGCTCCAGAGTATTTTTTACTTACTCTAACAAAATACACATTTATATATTCTTCCAGCACTCTGATCTTGTACAAAAGGAATACAGAACTTACAATTTTGACAGGATTCCAGTTACTTTTTGGACCAGAATTGAATTTTTAACTGTAATGTTAGTAACTATATTTCTAAAACCATAAACCTAAATCTGACATTTTTACGATCTTTTCAGATGTGTTCCTTTACTTCCCCAGAAATCCATAAGCAAGAAATATGGATTCTTTTAATATGTTAACAAAGGTAAAATCATAGGTAGTCACCATGTAACCGAAAAGAAGTCCTAATATAAAAACGTAACCTACCCCCCACAGCACAATGCCCACAAGAATTTCACTGAAGCAGAAAATAGTCTGACATATATAATTAGTTTTTCTGTAGCAAAAGATAGAAAGAAACACTATTTAATTACAAATGACTGGAAATCCTCTGGCAGTGCTAGTTGTATAATGAATAAAATATTTTGAAGGTAAAAAATGGTACCTTACCTTAACGTATTCCAAAGTAGGATCCAGAATATTCTGATCTCTGTAAGAAAACGGGGCGAGGAGGGAGGAAGGACACAAACAAAAACCAAATGGTGAGTCCAAATATAATCTCATACTAAAGGGATGCATTCATATGAGCAATAGGCTACTAGATCTTGTTAAAATCCTCGTTAAAAACCATGTGTTATATCTAGATGGCCTATGCAATCTAAGTTTTACCAAATATATAAACCACTGATTTCTTCTAGAAGGTCAGGTAGTGGAGCCACTAGTAATTAATTTGGGAAATAATATTAATTATACAGTTTTAAGCAAAGCAAAACAATCTTGACATTTCAAAAGGTGGCTGAAAATACTTATATACCACCTAAAACATTTGAAGTACATTTTAAAGAGACCTCTCCCAGTGGCTTCTAAAGTTATTTCTTTGCTTGTATGTTTTCCCATTTAAGCTACTGATAGCATAAAGAGGGCATTGCTAACACAAGAAAGTACAAAGCAAAACATTCACTTTTTATAGAAACAAAGAAAAGAATTAATAGATTTGCAATAGTAAAATATTTTATTTTACATTTGGAAAAAATAATTACGGTTCTTGCACTCTTTTAAAGGTTTTCCAAATTATCATAATTTCAACATTACAATTATTTGAAAGCTGGATAATCAAGTCATTGCCCTATTTTAAAAAGAAAAGATATCTTTGCATATTTTCCATACATACAGTTGACAAAGGGCACATAGAAGCCTAAGTGAAGAGCCCTGTGATCAACTACAACTCTTTCCATAAACAGAAACAAAAATAAACATACGTTTTCAAGGGGTTTTGAATATCTACTTTTACTTGAGAACTAGCAGGTTAACAGAGTTTGCAGTACATGACCGGATGCTTTCTACAGAACCTGGGAGGACATACAAGGTGCTGCCTTAAATATAAATGTGTAACAGGCACAATGAAAACCATGTAAACTTACAGAGAGATGGGGAGCTTGTTAATATCAGTCAAGTTTGCCACACAGACAACATATGCCCCATACATTTAGAAACAGAATCCAGTTTAGTGGAAGTTTGTCACGATGACATAACACTGGAAAACTAATAAGCACCTTCCTATATGCAGAAATTGGGCTATGCTGGAATCAACCAACCCAGAATACAGTTCTCTAAATTCCCTGTGCTGTTTTGAATGTAATTGTGTATCGCCTGAAACTAAGTTGTTATTTCATACTCAGTTTTTAGTCTGGTTCCCTAACAGCTTTTGATCCAGAATACCTATACCAAGGCAAAACAGAGCCCATAAATGATGGTGCTCAGCTGTTCAGGCTGTATCATGCGTTACTGTTTCATATTATCCCAGTACTTATCAAAGGTCAAGTTCCATTCCCAGCTCGGCTTAAAAAAATAACGGCAATAATGCTGTCAAATTCAATGGAAATAGAATATGGACCATTTGAAACTGTTCCCTAGTCAACAGACTAAGAAGGGGAAGCTTGGTAACCATACACACATAAAACATGTAGAAACGTATCAGTGAAAACAGGGGTGAAGCAGAGAGGAAAAAGAAAAAAGTTTCATTCTCAACACTTTGCAATTTGACTAGGAAAAAATATCCCATTCTTAATCAGTTCAGCAAAGTCATTAAGCATGGCTAAACTCTTCTCACATTTAAATGATGTGGGAAGTTGTGCCAGCACCAAATGTTTCAGAAAAAGCATTCAGTTCTTCCCTTGCCTGTGGAAATTTTCAGGACAAAGGGTCTACCAGCACTGCATATGCATCACGCTCCAGAAGAATGAACCTGAGCACTAACAACTTGTTTACTTGCTTATTTGGCAGTGTGTACATTTTTTTATGGTCTGCATTTACAAACTCCGCTCCTGCAGACTAGCTTTGTTACGGACTCCACTGTTCCCACCACAGGTACATGATAAAAGATCTTTAGGACAGATCAAGCCAAAGCAAAATGAAAGAAGTAGAAAAACTTTAAGACAAAAGAGTCTATATAAAGCAGGAAAACCAGAAGAAAGAGGTAAAAAAGGTGACCTACATTTCCTTCACCGTCCACATGACAAAAGTGTTTTGAAAATTTTGGCTTTAGGAAATGGATGGTGTAACAGATCTCTTCACAAGTACTACAATATTTAATCTGGTAGACTGTTACACACCAAAATGTAGGAAACCCTACAATTCACCACAAGCACAGGTTATACGTAAAGATGTTCATGCTGTAGCCCTCAGATACCGTTCTCCTGCCAGATCAACCCCTCTCTCTCCCCACCTTCCCTTGTTGTCTAAGTCTTAATCTTTGTGCAAATTTTTTTGAAGTTATCTTCAAGGAGTGGTAGCTTTCACTGATGTGCAATAACTAGTAAAGGTTAAATAGTGCATTTTCCTGTTATTCAATTCCACCATAACACTGCCACATTATATGCAGAAACCCAGATTTAGCAATTAGCCCAAATAACTAGGAACTAACCAAATAACTAGATCACAAAGCTAACTACTGAATCTCAGCTCTCTGTTAGCAATGATGATGTGCTCTTTTATGCCATATGCTCCCAGCAAAGGAAATCTGTGATGTCAGGAACCTAAGAAAAATAAAAAGTACTTCTTTTCCCTTTCATTTTCCCTCTCAAGGAATTTTAATAAAAATGGTGAACCCACAATCTCATTTCATGTATTAAAGGATTGCAGAAAAAAATTAATACTTTCAGATAACTACCAGATCAGAAGAAAGATACTTGCAGGCTCTGCAATCAACTCAACTGAAGGTTTGTTTCAATAATACTAAATTCTTCATCTTTCATCAGATTACCTTTCAAGTAATGCTAATGCGTATCTTCATAATAAGCTTGACTTTACATCTGTATTCATTTGCATCTGTTTACCTACAACATGTATGTATTACAGTCTGCACAGAAGTCAACCATTACTGTGTAAACTGTGGGTTCACAGACTGGGTTTTATTACACATTTTGGCTTCCTAATAATAAGATAAGCCTTACATCCATCCACATAAAAAGCACATTTAATGCTGAAAGATGTCACCTGGCACAGAGAAGCTTTCAGAAGACCTCAAACTAAGTTGCTGGATAAGGGCTGCAGTAGGACACACAGTATTGACTTCATGCTCTTTACATGCGCATTCTGTCACAGAAAGGAATTTAAGAAAGAGATGCAAACACACTCCCACATCCATTGCGGGTATTCACATTGCTGCCAGACTCCATCTCCTCATTTCATGACAAAACAAAGTCCCTTTCCACTATTTTTTTTGCTCACAGAAAGACAAAAAAAAAAAAAAAAAAAAAAAAAAAAAAAAAAAAAAAAAAAAAAAAAAAAAAAGAAAAAAAAAGAAAAGAAAGATAAAAGTGCCTGACTTGATACATGTATTTAAGCCATTCTCCTGAGTAGTGCAAGTCCTCTGTTGACCCTCCTCCACATCCACAAGGTCTGTGTGAAAACTGTAGTAGCATAAACACTTCTCCAGTAATAATTCATCACTAAAAGAAAGCAGTTAGTCATCACACTCTTAACCTTCCCCATTCTGAGGCTGTCCTAGCCAGAAACACATTCTTTCTAGAGCATCCCTACTGACATCTGACAACACCTTTCTCTGCTGGCTGATCTTGTAGACATACAACCCTTTAATCTCTCCCCAAAAGTCCTTGGAAGCTATCTCGAATTCTTTTCAGTCCAGCTACAAGATTCTTATGAGAATTATGAGGGTTTTTCCATGTATGGGTTTCTTACTGATATTGCCAAGAAAATATATAGAGCTTGAAAGTCAGGCATGGAGCTCCAGCAACCCTACAAAAAGATGAAGATGACAGATGAAGAGAGCATGTGGAGCCACTATTTTGCTCTTCTTCCCCCAAAATAAAATCCGTTGCAATAATGCTGGGTGTCATACTGTTTGGAAGTGACTCTGAGCAAGTACTGATACCTTTCGACACTGTGAGAACCAATGCAACTTCTCAGAAAACAAGTATTATCATTATATGTAGACCCTTTCAAGATACAGCTAAGCTGACAAAAGTAAGAAAAGGAAATGGAATTCAGATGTTATTGGATGCTATTCTTCCACTTCCCAACACCTCTAAATAACAAATGTGTGGGAAGAATTTAAAAAAAAAAAAAAAGAAAAAGCTTCTGAAGCTATCAACATCAGTAGTGATCGGCTAAAATGAAGAAAAAAAATCCCTATAAAAACCTGAATTGTACTTCTGGTGTGACAAACTAAATATTGCCATACCACCAACTTCAAATTCTGCACTGATTTTAAGACAATGAGCAACCAAACATGAAAATTTGGTAAAAAAACCCATTGAAGTCTGAACAATTAGTCACTCTTTTAAAAATATTTGATAAAATTGTTATGTACTCGCAAGCAATCCTACAACTTAAAAGCTGAATTCTGGAGTTCAACCCCAACAAAAATTATTTGGTTCAGTGGGTGCAAGACAATAGCCAGAATCTCGGTAACTCAGTAACAGTCATTTATTTTCAAACTCGGAGGTTTGTCCAATAGTTCTCTATAGAACTGCTTCAATAAAGAACTTTTAAGCAGATATCCTGTAATCTTTAGCTGTTGATTCTACGAAAACCTCCACTTTTCTACTACCAATCGCACATTACCCTCTCTCATTATTGTTGCTGTAAAGAATCCTGCAACATATGACCTGAACAAACTAAGCCATATTAAAGCATCTGCTTTCTCCAGGCCTTTGGCATCATCACAGATGTATCAGTGACAATTATAAATCAGCTGTGATAACTTTAACAAAATTTAAGCATAGACACAACAGTATTATCAGAGATGACCAAATCCTCATCATCATTCAACTATCGTATGGATACTCTTACAGTGATAGAAACTACTGAGTGGCCCTGGAGCAGCTTTGTGCTGCTTTTTAATATTTTATAAATATACTTATGGGAAAAACATTAGGACACATTGCCAGTACTTGATGTATGAAAGTATGTTTGTTTGTTTATTTTAAAGTGACCTTTGCTAGGGACATTTTCAAAAGCATCTCCTTG